CCCCCACCCCTCCTTGCCATTCTTTCTGCTGACCCTCACTGACCAATCCAACCAGATTGATACAGTTGGCTGGGCTAGGTTGTTGGGTTTTTTTTTTCCTGTTGGCTTGACCGACCAAGACCTCTCTTTTCTGTTGCTTTTGTCGGAAAGAAGTCAAGAAAAAAAAAAAAGAGTAGAGGAAAGAAACAACACCATCTTGTGTGAAGGGAAAACGTAAAAGAGCTTTCGGTGAGCCTCGTAACATGCTGCTACTGACATCAAGCCATGCATGGGCGGGCCTTGCTGGATACGCTTGACTTGGGGCCGTTCAAGACACGATTTTTGTCACCTTTGGAACCCATTGACGTCATGTCTGTCTGTTCTCTTGTTCGGGATTTGATCTTGCGTGGGGTTGGTTTTTTGTTTTTGGGTTGGTTTTTGTTTTTGTTTTTATTTTGTTTTTCATATAAACTTTCCCCCTATCCGACTTTTAGTTCTTTCTTTCTCCGAGTCTGTCTTTCTGCCAGCTAAAAGCATTATGTTAGTGATAGTGATTTTAGGGTGTGTGTGTGTGAGTGCGTTTGTGTGTGTATGTATGTGTGTGTGTGGGGGGGCAGACAGACAGACACACAGACAGACAGACAGGCACAGACAGACACACAGACAGACCGACAGACAGACCAACAGACAGACAGACAGCCAGCCAGACAGACAGACAAAAATGAGTACCGTCAACAAACATACTAATTCTATTGTTTCCTTTCTCTTCCTCCCCGACAGTATAACAGAGACATCGTTTTCCACCATGGCCAAAGACACCCGGGTCACGTTCGACAACTCCTCCCCCAACCCCAGCAAACAGAGCGGCAGAGGGCGCCACAGTCGCGCCGAGAGACAGATCTCTTATGAAGAGACGGAAAACTGCGTCAACGAAATGAGCGAATCGTTCCCCGGTTTGAGCAACAGGGCCCATCGTCTGATGAGGCAGGTCAGCGAATCCTTCAACTTCCGGACCATAAAAGTCGCTCTCATCACCTCCGCCATTTTGAACCTGCTCCTGGGGATTCCTTTCGGGGTGTTTTTCGGTATTTGGATTTCCCAGAAGAACGAGGGGGCGTCGTCATCGTCTTCACCTTCATCTTCCCCGTCTTCATCTTCCTCCTCATCTTCGTCTTCATCGCTGGTGCCCGTGGACAATGGCTGGCAGAACAATCAAGACTTGGGCCATGCCTTGATACCCGTCCACGGTTGTTACCCCTGCTCGGACATAACCTCACGGGGATTGAAGAACAGGGTCAAGGTCAAATCCAGGAACGACATCTGCTGTACAGAAGTGAAAATTCCAGAGATGGATGGCGCCTCCTTTGTAAGTGTCAATTAATCATGATATAATATGATAGTTTTGCTACTCACTGTCTGTCTGTCTGTCTGTTTGTCTGTCTGTCTTTCTGTCTGTCTGTCTGTCTGCCTGTCTGTCTGTCTGTCTGTCTGTCTG